TGAGAGTTTCATGTTTAGTGCGAAACTATATATGTTTTCATAGCAACAATCCACAGTCACAGTTGCTTCATATTGCATGGTAAAAAGCCCACAGGAAACCTGAACAGATCTGCTATAAGGACACATCCTCATACACCTCTCTGCATTGAATCATTAGTTATTATTAATCTCTGGCTCTGTTCCACAGCATGTCTTTTGTTCTGTCTTCCTCCCCTCACCACAACTGGTCGCGGCAGACGGCCGCCCCTCTCTGAGCCTGGTTCTGCCAGAGGTTTCTTCCTGTTAAAAGGGAGTTTTTTTTTCTTCCCAATGTTGCCAAAGTGCTTGCTCATAGGGGGTCAAATGTTTGAGGTTTCTCTGTATTATTGTAGTGTCTTTACCTTGCAATGCTCTAGCCTTGAGGTAACTGTTGTTGTGAGTTGGCACTATATAAATAAAATGGAATAGAATTAACAAATTGACAACAGTTTTTTTTTTTTTTTTCATCTTTGGTTCTTGGGGAGCTCCAGAGTCTCCTGGAGATCCTGGAACATGGCTATGTGGAGAAATGTGTGGAAATGCAGTAGTGAATTTTCTCCTGTGGTCAGGACCTGTGTGATGAGCTGGCTCTGGTCGATGTGATGGAGGACCGTCTTAAAGGAGAGATGATGGACCTCCAGCACGGCAGCCTTTTCCTCAAAACCTCCAAGATAATGGCAGACAAAGGTCAGGAGCTGGAGCTGCACTGACCTCCATGCTACAGAAAGATGTCTGAATACATGCCTGAGCAGATCATGTGTTACTCTTTCCTTCCTCCTTCAGACTACGCAGTGACGGCCAACTCTCGCCTAGTCGTGTTGACTGCTGGTGTTCGCCAGCAGGAGGGAGAGAGCCGCCTCAACCTGGTGCAGAGGAATGTTAATGTCTTCAAGTCCATCGTCCCTCAGATTATCAAGTACAGCCCCAACTGCACAATCATTGTGGTCTCCAACCCTGGTAAGTGCAAGAGTTTCATAAAGACCCTTATGAATACTACTTATTTATATTCATTTGGTTTTCGCAATAGCTTAGTTTCCTCTTCTGCATTGTGTGTTTGTGTTTAAATGCAGTTGATGTGCTGACATATGTGACCTGGAAGCTGAGCGGTCTGCCAAAGCACCGTGTCATTGGCAGCGGCACCAATCTGGATTCAGCCCGCTTCCGTTACCTGATGGCTGAGCGACTCGGCATCCATGCCAGCTCTTTCAACGGCTGGGTGCTGGGTGAGCACGGAGACACCAGCGGTGAGTCCACACCCGAATTAGCTTCTGTCTAATAACAGCATTATAAAATCATATCTGCATGTAAAATCTCCATGAATTCCTGCTTCAGTGCCCGTGTGGAGCGGAGCAAATGTGGCCGGAGTCAACCTGCAGAAGCTGAACCCTGATATCGGCACTGATGCCGATAAGGAGCAGTGGAAGGCCACACACAAGGCAGTGGTGGACAGGTTGTACTTTGAACTCTATACCTTTTTATTTTAAAGTCACACTTTTTCAAACATAATCTTACTACCTAATGCAAATATGTGTGTGCCATCAGTATATAAGTAAATGAAATCCTCTCCAGCATTCAGTAATCGGTAATTATTTGCATCACAAGCATACCATCAGAAAAATGCTGCTGGGACACTTAAACTGACCTCTAGAAGTTACAACAGAAAATGATTGTTCAGGTCAGGCTGCTGGTTCTTTTCCCAATCAAACTAACAGATGTTCTGTTTTCGAAGCCAGTATCCTTCTGTAATTAAATGTGTCATTCTGGGAATGTCTGCAGTTATTCAAGGCCACAAGTAATTACAGTTATACAGAAGGTGGCTCCAGTGGGAATAGAACCTCTAACCTCGGTCGTTGTATTTAGTTAGCTTCAGCTCTGAAACTAATGTAAGTGTGCAAGGACTCGCTTCAAGGTGTGGGTTCTGTTAATAATTGTGCATTTAAGACCAGAGAGATGTTATCAAATTATACGTGAAGCTGCTACTGTTTATTGTTTATTCAAAGTACTTTTTTATATGCATCCAGTATCATATCGCTTCAAAAAATAAACATAAACAATATAAAAATAAACATATTTTCGACTTGCTATAGGAAGAGCTAAGTTTTTATATATGTTGCTCAGAATGATTTACAATCCTGTAACTTTTTCCCCATAATAAAAGCCTTCCTCTCAGTGTGCCTGGGTAAACTAATTGAGGTTCCTGTAACACATTTAATATCTAATTGCAGACAGATGCTAATAATGGTGTTTTGTATCTCAGTGCCTATGAGGTGATCAGGTTGAAGGGATACACCAACTGGGCCATCGGCCTGAGCGTTGCTGACCTCACCGAGAGCATTGTCAAGAATCTGAGCCGTGTCCATCCCGTCTCCACCATGGTCAAGGTCAGACACACACACAGACACTCTGTCTCGTACAGTTGGGGTATAATGTCTTACTTTGGCACGCAGCGTGCATCAAACCACCAACCTTCTGACCTGCTCTGCCTCTTGAGCCACTGTCACCCCATGAAAACCATTTTTCACATGATGGCTGTTACACAGAACAGCACTTTGGCTCTTTAGGCCAAAGCTACATTTGCTGTAAATCACGAGTTAATTCTCAACATTAGCCATATGATTTATGAATCCCCTTTGGGGTTTTGAATCAGAAAGGGCAGGTGGTGTGTCTCTTCATTTTGTGTTTGTCTTTTTCAGAACATGTACGGTATCGCTGAAGAGGTCTTCCTGTCCCTGCCCTGCATTCTGAACAGCAACGGTGTGAACAGTGTGGTCAACATGACTCTCACTGATAATGAGGTTGCCCAGCTGAAGAAGAGTGCTGACACACTGTGGGGGATCCAGAAAGACCTCAAGGACCTGTGAACACACCACGTATCACTCCCATGATGCAGTGAGGCCTGTCCTCGCACACGCAGTCCTTTCATAATCTTGCCCATTCTTCTAGCTTTGTGTTGCCTTATTTTGAAGAACAGTACCAGTGTTTTTAAGACTGTCAGGGAACTTTTCAGTTTTACATCATGTTTCTGCTCACTCCATGCCAATCACCAGATTATTTGTAGGTCTAAAAATACTGGTATGCTTTTTTTT